TAATAAAACATTCAAAAGTGGTAACACGTCCACCTCAAAGTTTAGATTGCAGGACACTTTGTGATCAACCTATTGCTGATCGGATCTGATGTTTGGGTCGTCAAAATGACGCGACCAAACTCACGAACAGATCTGTATACGACCCAGGAAATAGTCTATCTTTGTTCCAGCGGCTGTATGGGCTTCAGTGTGAGACTGAGTGTAGTGTCGCATTTCAGTTGCTCTACGGCCACCGTTGATACTCAGCGTTGTTTCTGGGTATGGAATCCCGTCAAGCTACACCGTGGTTTGATGATAGTTTTTAAGAACCGTGTCAGAAGATAATGATAATAACTAGTCCGGTGCGACATTGCTGGTTAAATTGAGAGCCTATTCTATTGTTGTTCTTTGTTAGTAGATGAAGTGGTAGGAAAATGAATATTGTGCACGCAAAGTCTCACAATACAATAGCATTGTATTGGGTATGGTTGTATAGGAGACAGGTTGTCCGCCGTTGGGTTCGTGAGTCGAAATGCTCGTTAACATTTCATGCTACATAGTGGAGTGCTGTCTTTGGCCAGTACCTGGGGTACGAAGCTTACGATCCGGGCAGATGAACACAGTTTGCAAAGATAAAGGTGGTACTATTAATGTGGTATTTTGGACCGCATTCTGTTACCTCAAGAGTATAGAAATCTAGACTTCTTGTAGATTTGGGTTTGACGAGAACACGAGGCCTTTCCACTGTTCCAGAGCAAGTCCCATCGTCTCGTTCAGAATCTGTTTCTCCATGATCAAAACGCGTTGGACATGTGCCTTACGAATACTCCTAACGTCATCTTTATAGGATAATCCAGCGAGGGTTTTTTGGTCTTGTTCAATGGTTGTCGGATATTGTTTGAGCAGGGTCGTGCACGTGGAGATGACAGCACGCGTGAAGACGAATTCATTCCGAAGACTCACGATACGTCGCTCTTCTTCGTCCTCTGTTGGAGTAAGCAGCTCTTTGTAGCGTGAGAGTTCGGCACCAGACAAGAGCTTCATCTTAAGAGAAGTGGAGATGGCATCATCGATCTTGGAGCTGCCGTAGAAGAAGCCATACGTCGCATTGACGGTCTCATTCAATTGTGTCTGGAGCAAGTAATTCTTCAAAGGAGCTAAGGTATCGCTTGGGTCCAATGTTACAGTGAGGTCCACTTTGTCAAGCTTGGAAGCTCGAGCTCTCGCGAAACCATTGTTGAGCATAAGGTGAGTCGACGACTTGCGTGGCATTGAGAGACGCACTTCTTGACCCTTTAAATAGGACACCGAAGCGTACACAACTAGTCTCTGTGTGCTTGTATCCATCTTGATTCTCGTCTCAGGACACGCTTCGTTATCTTCTTCGTCCAGTTCAGTGCAGATGCCGATCGTGTCTAGAACAGGAGCTAGCACAACCTCGTCCTCCGTTTGTCCATATTGGAAGGTAGAAGACCACACAACTCCCATCGCCCAGCGGAATTTATCCAGTGTAAACTCTTCCTTCTTGAAGATCGGAGGGTCCACAGCTTCACGCGATGTCACCGGCTGTGCCAGGGCGTCGTAGAAGGTCTCAACAGCTTGAGCTCTTCCGAGCGTGAATCGCTGTAATTGCGATCCTTCCATCTCCTTTAACTCCTCTTCCGAGTAGAATAAGGTGCTGTTGATCGAGTCTGCTGTCGGCAGTGCAGACACAAACTCGGAAAAGTTGGAAGCCGCACCAAGAGCTCGTTCTTCCAGTAAATGTAGCCCCAACGCGATCGCAGGTGGAAGGTCTGGATTCGCCTCCAATAGTAGCCCCACTCTCCCTCTTGAAGCCGATCCCACACTCATCACCTGGCTCATTGGCAATGACAGTAGTTCATCTCCTATTTCCACGTCCTGTGTTGTCACGTACGCTGTACCGCGGCCAAAGTTGAAACCTTCGGGTGTCAGTACCGTCGACATTGGAGCTGCTGACTTGATCTTAGTACCTCCCAGTGGTCGGATTTTCATCCCCATCGACCCTGACCGACCTTCGAGAACTGGCCGATCAGAGCGTGATCCAGCGTATCCGCCCCATTGCGCTTTGGACTCAGCGTCCAGATCGAATTCCACTTCAACTTCGGGTCTCGCAGCGGCGACTTCGGCACTGGCATCGATCGAAAATGCCAATACGGGATGAACACGAACGAGCAGCAGCAGTGATGCAACACTATACAAAATCTTCATCGTGGACCAGGAGAGAAGCGCTTTTTCACAAATGGCACACCCAGCGAATGACAAGCAATGCATATCTTTCTATAGATCTTTAACCGACGCGGAAAGATACAGTTTTTGTAAATCACATCATATTATGTTTTCACATACTATTATGTACCGTGTAGTTAGTACATCAACGACTAAATTCTCCACACTTCGAATAACAAAAAATAGCAGATCTGCCTGTCCATAATTGAGAATATGTGATAAGCCAAGAATTCAATCTACCGATATAGATTTGTCTGCTCATCGTTGAAAATATATGAAGCAATTTAACAGTTCAATAATCTATCTACATTGTTTGGCTCAATTGGAGAATACTCTACCGTCTAGCCGCGATGCCATCACGAGAATTTTTACAATCAAGCACTACTCTGGCATCATCAAATTTACGTCCACGTAGTTTATCCGACCGGATGTTCCGCAAGATCGAACGACAACCCACCATACAAGGTGGATGTATGTATTCGAAGCATGCTTCCACTTGGTCAACATGATTCTACTTGTTTAACTTGATCTCTAGCGTAGTACCGAGTCGATTCCATATTGTCGTCATCAACACGCCGAATTCTACCCCATCTTCACTTTTCAATTATCTCTGCTGACGGCAATGCCACCGCAATTTACCACTCAACTCAATGGCACCATGACATTTTCGGCTAGTTTGAGTGCCTCAGTAAACACTTCGGCTAACGTGACAACTAGCAGAAACTATCGACCACTAATCCCAGAAACACCCACCACACAACCGAGTGGCCCTCCACCCCCACTCATCTTATCACTGGAAGAAGCTGATCAGCTCGAACATCTCGCCGATTCAGTTATGAAGCAGACTCTAAGCGACTATCTGCATTTCCGTGATGTCCGTAAGCGTCGACTACACGATGAACAATGGAAAGAAGTTCGTCGTCAAAATAACCTCGTGGCATTCAAAGAGCGAGAGTCGTGGAGACAACAGCATCAGACGTTGTGTTCTCCTGACGGTCGTCTTGAACCAGTTGTGTGTAAGACCTCGGTACCTACACTATTAGTACTCGGAGCTCTTCAAGGAACACTTGACGACGAGATGTATGGGATGCACATCGACAGTGACAATGGCGCTAAACTTCGATCGTCGTACATCCACGATCAGGTCAACGACTTTCGAGTATTAACGCGCATTCGAAGTGCTACAAAAGACAACCCTTTCCGGTTCTGTGGAGTCACGTGGATGGATTTCAGCAATTCTGGCTACGGTCCGTTCGCTAAGAAGCGCGACTACTGCGTCGTCACTTCCATGGGTGTCACTAATACCATACGAGGTGAACGACTCGGATACTACGTCGTTCACTCAGTTGATGTGAGTTCGAACGACCCGATGGGTAGAAGCACGCAGCTTGGTCTTGGAAGCGACTCATGCAACAGCAAGTATATTCGTGCGAAAGGTTCGATGTGCTGGCTTAAGTGCGAGCTGCCGAATGGTGGCGTTGAGCTCTTCATGCAAGGATTCTTCGCTCCTATGGGTAGCGTACCGGAATTCGCAGTGGTGAACGCAGCTCTCCACGCTGCGTTGGGACTCGCTCAGACCAGCGATACTGCTTACTCCAAGAAGATCCGCTGGATGCTGCACGACTCCGTGCGCTCGACACGTCGGTGAGTGTTTGGAAATGTTTTAGTGGTCACCATGAGCTAATTTTTGTATGCTGAAGTAGACTGGTGTCGCCGTCGACGGAGGACTGTGTGGGGAGATGTAAAGCGCATTTTGGAGTGCCCAAGAAACGGAAACTCGGATGCTGTATTGTCTGTCGAGCGGTGGGTTGCGTACGACTAGTTTTCGTCACTTCAGATTCGCTAACTTTACTGTTTCGTCGTCTACAGCTCGTGTGCAATTCTTGTCGAACGACGCGGAAAGTGACGGTGGATGTAGCGCCGGACAGCGTCGTACAGCAAACACGATGTTGCATTTGCTTGCTGTGCATGGGGTACGCCAAACAGACCAGTGCTACGGAATTCGCAGCCAGAGAAATGGCGATGGCTCGCGCTCGAAGTAAGCGAGCTCTCAGTACCGAGACGTCCGAGTATATTCTATAAGCGAGGTCGACACGAACGAAGTGACGAGCCATGCTTGATCTATGGGGATAGTACGTTAAAGAGGACGTAGAAGTGATCTAGCTTCGAAATCAAGTGTTGAAAAGCATCGTTCGTGCACACATGGCGCTGCGAATCATTTAATTACGTTATCTATCAGCTCACGATGCATTTGCAGTATTTCGGTGACTCGATGAAGTTTTGCAACCGACGCACGATTAGAGAATGTAATGCAACGAAATTTCGCCAAAGACCACAAAGCAGCACACCCACGGAGCTTGGGGCTCGAGGAGACAAGGCCTCAAACAGGGGTCCCACCCCTGGATTTGTCGGCATAACGACAATCGACAGAAGCGAAGGTAACGAGTTCATGGCCACTTTTTGGTGGCGACGCTCTCATTGCAACAAAGCAATCGATCAAAACGTAGCAGAATACAATCAACTCGAGCACAGTGTTTTGGTTTCGGTTCGGAGGTGAGCTGGCCATACATAATTCGTTTTTCTTATTACCTGTTTAAGTTGATAGTTTAGTAAAAATGCAAACATTGCTTAATTGTGAAAAATCAAATTTCGGGGAAATTGTACACCATTAAAATAAGTTTTATTGCTGAAATAATCAAGTTTAGCAGTCCAAGTTGCGGTACCTGTTCAACGTTGTCGCTGTACGGTACAGGCAGGTACAGGCTGTACCTGCCTAAGGCCGAAGTGAAAACAGTCGCCTTTCTTGTCCGAAGGGAGCACTCTCTGAATGCACCCCCTGTTGACCATGAGTATTGTGAAGAAAGGCTGAGAATCGGTTCGGATCGAGATGCACACCTTCCGAAAGCAAAGTAGCCGCTAGCAATGGAGGTTAAATTCCTGGTCGGAAGTTAAGTGCAGCAACTACCCTTAGGCACGTACAACCACGACATGTCGTCTTTTTGTTAAATAGTTCCGATGGCAATGGCAATCACTTTCCTATTCACCGAGTCCACCTCAACCCAATTTCGGAATCGGAGAAAAACTATGAGCAGCACGACATCGTCGGAACGGGCAACCAGGTCAACGCACTCGGTACAGGAACGTCTGTATCTCTCTCAAGAAGAAGCACATCGTCTTGAAAATCTAGCCGACCAAGTAGTGGTCGACACCACCGAGTACTACGACAGATTCCGGTTTAATGAAAAGCGGGTCGTGGACCCGAACGCTTGGAAAGATGTCGGCCACCGCGACAACCTCATCGTCTACCGTGAACGATCGGGTCCCCGTCCAACGTACCCGTCAATTCGGGCAATGGACGGCAGTTTACAGCTCGTTCCATGCAAATCTGCACCGTCCGTTAAGATCGTCGGGATGCTGCAGGGAACGCTGGATGACGAAATGTACGGCTGCTTCGTCGACAGTAACGACGCCGTCAAGATGCGAACGGCGGTCGTAGATGACGCCATGGAGAACTTCCATTGGTTGGCTACAATAGCCGAACCGAGTCTGGAAGATCCGTTCCGATTCTGCGGTGTGGCGCGTTGTACGTTGGGGATGTCGTTCCCTTTGGCCAAAACTCGTGGTGCTTGTCTGGTCATTTCCATGGGGATGACGACGAACCAGCACGGAGAGCGTATGGGATACTACGTCTTGCACTCGGTGGACCTAGCTGAACCGACGAACAAAAACAGCTACATCCGAGCCAAGTGCTCCTTGTGCTGGCTGAAGACTGAACTCCCGAACGGTAAGGTCGAACTGTACATGAAAGGGTTCGCTGCACCGATGGGGATTGTCCCCGAGTTTGCAGCCTTCCCGGTATTGGTGAGCTGCGTGCTGGGTGCAGGGATGACCAGTGACGCAGCGTACTCGAAGAAATTGGCTTGGATGATTCATGACGCCGGCCAATCTGGACACCACTCACCGCTGCCACCGATGATCGAATGTGTTGGACGATGTAAAAGCGCATTCGGGGGACCAAAGAGCAACACCAACTTTCGACGATGTCTTGTGTGCCGTAAAGCGGTGTGTAATTCGTGTCAAGTCGTGCGCAAGATTCCGGTTGATGTCACGGATGGCGTTGTCAACTTCACTAAGTGCAGCGTCTGCATCCTGTGTATGCATCGAGCCAAGGCCATGAGCGCGGTGGCGTTTGCGCAGCGTGATTTGCGTTCAAAAAGGTGGAAAAGCGTTGATGCCGGACGGATGTCGATCACCAGCAGCACTGAGCGTGAAGTTATGCTCACACCAAGCACCGAACGACCGTTCTACGAGACGAATTAATAGTACCCGCCTCGCACATCCTCGTTATCTCCAATATGTTCGTAGCAATTGCACCAAGCTTCAGTATACGTCTCAGCTCAATAATCTGTGAATTGTACTCCTCAACTGTACTAATCCACGACATATACTATGCACCCCGCAAGATATAAATCTACATAGGCTGCAGTAATACGCCAATCGAGTTAGCTGCATGACTCTAATAATTTTTTTTAAGTGTGAATGTGTGATGTCCTACAAACATGCCAATTGGAATAAGAAGGCAAGAATGAAACCGGAAGTGAGGGACTTTACGTTGTCATCGACGACGTAAAGTCCACACGAATAACCGCGCTAAAAATATTCTTCACTCAAAGCTAACTTTGGCCACATAACAAACTTACAAGACGACGGTGAATATGGTCGCCGGACTTGAGTCACCAGCATTTAAATCTGTTGTATTGCTGCCAGCTCTTCCTGTGCCAACGGAAACGCATCGCCTGTATCACTCACTTAGAGCTCAATTTGCGAGAGCTGTTGGTACTTGGTTTGCGGTTCATGTTGAACATTTCGGTGGGAAATATTCAGTAGAGAGAATGCTGGCGCTCGAAGAGTACACCCGAAATACATCCTTCGCTCGAGTAATTCTGGTGACTATTGGGGTGCCACTATTTGTGATCGCTCTGGTTTTGTGTCAAGAAAGCGTTCCACTACAAGATCCAGCTGATGGGTGGGAAGCAAATTACGGTTTTTGGGTTCGTGCTGGGCTAGCAGGAGTTGGAATCGGCAATGCAGCTTCAATTCAGATCGGATTTTGGTTAGATGTACCTCCACTCACATTGAATCAAATCTTGGGGTACTGTACTCTAATGGCGACCGGATATATCGTAGCAGGAATGACTTTCGCAAAGTTTTGGGTATTTCCGATCCCATTCTTCATGTTTAGCCTTTGCATGGTGACGACAACTGTCATTTTCGCTTACATTAGACTTGTGGTCGGTGCTCAATGCTTTCGACAAATTATGTCCCGTCGAGAGCAGCTTCACCGATTACGTAGAGTGGGAGCGGTGCAGGCAATCATGTTCTGTGTGTACCCAGCTTATCAAATGCTTTTCACTAGAGCAAGCCGCACATTGTACGAGATTCCAGTACTCATGATACTTCCGATCGTCCGACTGGTGTTAAAGCTGATGTTCACGCGTGCAGCTGCACATAAAGAGGATATGATTCCAGTTCAAGTCGTGTTCACGGTTGACTTTTTCGACGCATTTTATTTTGCCTCGTTTATTCAATCGCTGTCACCATTGGCATTAGCTAGTGTGATGGCTATCGATCTATTGCAGACAGCAAGCGAGATCCACGAGTTGCGCCAACGAGCACAGAGAATTCTATCCCGGATCAGTCGACTGCCTACTATGGAGCAACAAAACGATGATCTTCTTGACGCGGTTAAGGAAATGTGCAACAGAGTTGACATCCTTGGTATCCAATTTACAAAAACGACTCAAGTGCGTTCGTGTATTTATCATCAACTGTCGGATGAAGGTAGGGGATTACTGGACAAACTTGAGAGGTATTTGTGCACCAAATCTTCCAGTAATTTGTACCAGCATAACCTTAAAACGCTTTCAAGAGTGGCGTTCAATGTTAATGATGTTGTTCCGAACAATCAAACTTCGAAAGCAAAATGGATAAAGTGTTGCTTTCGCGGGAAAGCAGCTGTTGAGCCAGTCTTCTCGAAGCCACCTTTAATTTCATCTCCGAGGATTGAGGACACAATGTCGGAGATGCAGAAAAGCGCCAGTCGAAAACAATCAGCGGTGAATACTTCGATTGTTTTACAAGAAGCGCTCGAGGTGTTATTTACTTCCGAATGCTTAGTTCTGTCCGAGTACATGGAGGTCATTGTCCCCACTGTTTACGGAATTTTTGTGCTGGTTATGATACGCCTTCCTAGCGCCCAATACCACACAGAATTGACTGGAGTGAATTGTGATAATGTCATAAGCGTCGTTTCACGGATATTCGCGTACGCGTTGATGGAGTTCGGGTCCTTTATTATTCTCGCGGTACTCAAGAGGAAAACTTGTGGGATTAAAGCACTCTATCAACTGGCTTTTGTATTGGAAACGCAAACGCTATTTGTCCAGTCGACACTGATGATGTGGATACTGTTGACCTTGACATATCGCGTGGTGCACTTTGGTACGTTTCATGTCGTAACTCGTGGTTATGTTACATTTGTCTTACGTTATTTTGCTTTGATTAGGTTGTGACTTCACGTTCCGGTTCGAGTGGATTAAACTCAGCACATGATCAACAAAATAACTCCCGAATATATTAATAATTGCTGGTACATTTTGAAGTCCTGATGCGTTGAATGTATAGTGAAAGAAAAAAATAACGCTAAAAAGTACAGGTGACCTATAAATACACATCCGCTGTAAAACTTCTGACGATGGTGATTGAACTCCCATTAGCCATTGCACAACGCAAAGTATGCAAGATGTCTTCGATTCATTCGGCACGATCGAGAATTATGCCCACGGCAGTAGTTCATCCTACACACTCGATCGACACTGTTGTAAAGACGCGGATTAAGAGGTTTATCAACGCGTGGTTTGCCCTGCAACTCCCACATTTCGGAGGAAAATACTCGATTGAACGGATGCTGGCGTTTGAGGAATATACTCGGAACACAACGATAGGCCGCGTCCTACTAGTTACAATCGGCGCTCCGCTAGTAATCATTGCTTTAATGCTCTGCCAAGAAAGTATCCCGCTTCAAGATCCGGGCGATGGGTGGAAAGCCAACTATGGATTTTGGATTAGAGCAGGAATACTCGGTGCTGGAATAGGATACGCCGCAGCAATCCAGATTGGGTTTTGGCTCGATGCACCGCCATTTTCTCTGAAGCAGATTGTTTCATATTGTGCTTTTATGGGGACAGTTTACGTCGCTGTCGGTATGGTCACAGCGGAATTGTGGGTGTTTCCGATTCCGTTCTTCATGTTTACTCTGGCCACCATAACCACATCTTTTCTTCTGGCATACTTCAGAATTATCGTGGGATCTCGAGTATTTCAGCAAGTACGTTCACAACGTGAAAATCTTCGCCGATTGAACAGAATCGGATCTCTCCAAGGTTTCATGTACGTGGCGTATCCAGCTTATCAAGTGCTTTTCAGTAAAGCACACTATACAATCTACGAGATACCCGTTCTCCTCCTTCTCCCGCTATTCCGGCTTGTGATAAAAGTAGTTTTCGCATCTGCTGCGACCCACAAAGAGGACATGATTCCAGCCCAAGTTGTATTTACTGTCGATTTTTTCGATGCTGTTTACATGGCCACTTCCCTACAAAGCATGTCATCCTTAGCTCTTGCTGCCATCATGGCAATTGACTTACTACAGACAGCAACTGAGCTGCACGAGCTTCAAAGACAAACGCGACGTATTTTATCCCAGCTTCATGTTGTGAACTCGACAAATATTAGGGATATCAATCTACTTGTGGCTATTCGAGAACTGTGCAGCTCTGACGTATTGAATCAGCGCGGAATTAGTGCAAAAAATATTCAAGTGCGTTCGTGCATTCATCACCAGGTGTCCGAAGAAGGCAGAGCTGTACTTGATAGACTAGAGAGAAACTCAGCGACCAGATCAGCGTTGAGCTCGTGTCCACACAACGTTGCACGGATCAGCTCCAGAATTAATACAGCCGACTTGGCTTACTCTTGGGACTGGATCACGCGCTGGTTTCGTGGAGCAAATGCAGTTACACCTCCGACGGTGTATTCTAACTCACCATGTACGAAAGATGTTCCTCCTAATCCCACTAAAAAGGTTGCGAGTAGAATAGCAACTCAGGCGAAGCAATCGATCATACTTCAAGAAACGCTCCAAGTTCTCTTCACAACTGAATGCCTCATTCTTTCTGAATACTTGGAGATTTTCGTTCCTGCTGTCTATGGTGTTTTCGTTCTCGCAATGGTTAATTTTTCCAATGTTCACTATCATACTGAGTTAATTGGTGTGACACGTGAAAATGTTGGAGGAATCGTCTCTCGAATATTCCTTTACGTGTCAATGGAACTCGCATCTTTTGTCGTGCTAGCAGTCATTACACAACGAAATTGCGGTGTCAACGCTCTGTATCAACTAGCATTTGTATTAGAAACCCAAATGCTTTTCGTCCAATCGATGTTGACGATGTGGATACTGATGACCTTGACATACCGAGTTACACACTTTGGTAAGTCGAGTTTGCAACGACTGTAGTTACTATTTTGTTGCTCCAGCCTGACACTTACGTTTTTTTTTTTGCGTTAGGCTGTGACTTTTCCTTCCAGTTCAATTGGATACATTTTACAACTTAAAGAGGAAAGTCACCTTCACGAAAAGAGGGATTGAGGTGGTGATGAATCAACATGGACATACTTTCAAGTACCGTCGACAACACATGAATCTGCATACCGTGTCGTAAATAAATACACCAGGCGGCAACAATGTAATGGTCCGCTGGTTTATCATTGTGAAACAGTGATCGTGCGGCTATCTCTCTCTTGGGTATGTGAGTAAAAATATCACATTTTGACTGTGAGATTTGAAGCTCTTAACTGCTCTGCAAGTCTTCCGTTCTACATGTCGTGGTAGTATTCGTTGGATGCTTCTTCAAGCAAACAGTGATAAATGAGAAGTCTTCTCTCGTTCTTTGAACAATATATCGCATGTGATATGCACGATAATTACTTGCAATCAATAAAAAAACTAGCGTGTTTTGTACGATGTTGAATATCCACTGCACCATCCAATTGAGAGTTCCAAAATTCGGAATTTGGACGTACAGACTCTGTGGCAGAGTGGCTGGGGTCAAATATTTACAACAGTACTACGCTACATCTACAGCCTCGCATACTGGATGCAGCATTTGCAGTAGTGCAGGCATTGTGCTGCTGTAGATCCGTCGAGTGCATACCGGTGGTTGAATCCATTTTGGCTGGTACGTCAGGATCGCAGCTGTAGTCACTAGTGTCCTAACTACTGCCTCGCTTATCAATCCACCCTTTATTCCATTCTAGTCAGCAAATCCAGCACACGACAGTTACATCCGGACACAAGCAAACGAATCTGATTTATCACTTTCCAGAGTATCCGTGTCTGTCGTCCCGTATCAAAGGCACTTCTCAATTCGCCTCATCAAGAGCAAGTGAGATATCCCGCCCTGACCAATAATGCACTCGTCGCTCCTCGTTGCTCTTGCGCTGCTGGCGTCCCCCGCCATGGCTTCGCAACTCAAGGTGCACCACCACCACCACATGAAGTTCCGCGAGGTTACGGTCATCGCGGACAACGCCACGTGCCCCAATGGCGGCGACGTGCTCTTGTGTCAGAGCGCCTCATACGCGTGCCAGGACGACGGTACGGGCACGCAGAAATGCCTCGAGCGCGACGACTCGTTCCTGGACTCGGTGGACAGCAGCACCGCGATGCCTTGGATGCAGTGCAGCCAGTCAAACGCATCGCTGCCTTCCAAGTGCCTCTTCGACTTCCAGTGCACCTGCATGGACTACGAGAACGTTGACTGCTACTGTACACCGCCCGATGCCTGGCGCACGGGTCGTCGTACGGCTGACAACTGCACCACGTCCAGTGGAGAGGTGGGCTCCTGTGACGAGGGCAAGTACTGCCGCACCAAGGGCTCGTACCAGGAGTGCGCCACGGCCCCGTACCTTCCGAGCAGCACGTCGCTCTACAGCGATTGCTCGGACGACGGCGTGTGCGACTCGGGCCTGACCTGTGAAGACTATGACAACTTCGGCATCTGCGTTGAGGACGACGGAGACGACGGAAGTGCCAACTGAGAAGAGATCTTCTCGCGACCGAGTTAATGTACGTTTAGCTATGAGAGCGTTTGCAGTTGCAAACCTCTATTGAATGGGCTCTAATTCCTAATAGAGCACGCTATCCTCCATCATAAGTTTTGGATTTTATCTCGGTGTTCGAACCTTTTTGGGATGGGATATCAATGCTGTTATGCTGTTCAAATGTCTACCACTGTAGAGAGTTATTTACATGAATGAAATGAATCCCATTGATTGGTCAAGTCAAACATCTCTTTATTCGTAAAACAAAAGTCCCTATTTCTAGAACCATTTCTCAACGTTTTCGAGCCAGCAACGGACACCGACGCCGAACGTATCACCTTGGAGACCGAACGATGCAGCTCCTTGCCTTCCTAGCACTAGCCTCCAGTCTAGCGGCCTCGCTGTCCGCTGCAGAGCCTTTACAGAGCAAAATACGAATGGAAGTGACCGCTGGACAGGCTCCTGTGGCCCACCCCAGTGTCAAGTATTTCGTCCACGTGGTGGCGGATGGAGATGACTGCGACTACCCTGACAACACATTGCCCATGTGCGCCAACAAGAACTTCGTCTGTAGAATGGAGCCTGGCCAGGAGATGTTCGCTAACGCGCCGTCCTGTCTGGCTTACGACCCCACAAATATGGAGGACAACCCGTTCCTGATCGAGGAGACAGCTGTGGTGCCGTGGGGGGTCTGTGACCCGGCTGCAGAACTTAGCAGGAAGATCGGCGATCCGCCGGTCTGCAAGAGGGAGTTTATGTGTCTCTGTCTCCATGGAGCAGGCGAGAGCTGTGTATGCGCCCCACCCGATGCAGTGGACGACGCTAACGGTGCTGCAAAGTGCGGCAACAGTACGGCTGCGTGTACCGAGGACAAATACTGCCACTACCTCCAAGAAGGAGGAGTGGAGTGCGGCCAGAAACCTTACTATTCGTAAGGATAGAGTGGGAGAATAGGATGGCGATGGCTTGAAATTTACATGACTCAACTTACAGTAACCAGAGCTGTTGCTGTTTTTATTTACATTTCATTGCCGCTGTTATTGTTGCTTGCATTCGGCGCGTTTCTCCTTCTCTTCGTTACTCTCGTCAGGAATCAGATTGCGTGTGATGAAGTGCGAGAACCGACGTTGGCGAGGTTCTGGGTTGGACTGAGCTGGTTCAGAAGTCTTCGAGAAGAACGCTTTTGCATCGGTGAAGCCGCTGTCTGCTGTTGAATCCCCCTCCTCACTTGATGATTCGGTAGGTTTGTAGACTGTCTCGAGTTTGCGTTTCCTGCTGCCAACCTGGCGGAATTTCATTTGGTTTTTGTTATCGGGTAGTTCGTTGGAATCCGACGTCGAGCTCATGGCATCAGACAAGCTTGGCTGCCCTTCCTGTGTCCTTCTCCTCTCGTCACACAGCCGCCAGTGGTTGACGGACTCCTCCAATTCGTGAATTCGATCAGTTAGACTCACGTTTTTGACGTGGAGCTGCTTCTGCTCTTGGATGAGTTTGGCATTCACAAGGAGCAGTTCACGTCGCTTGCGTTCCACCTGCCGCTTGTCCTGCTCCACCTGCTGTATACGGGATAAATAGTAGTTCTGCGCTGAGGTAGAAGTAGAGGCTGCCTTATTCTTACAGCGACACCATTCTTGCTTGGCATGAAGGTCCTTGTTTTCCTTGAGAACTTTCTCCATTTCTGTCGCCAGTACGTTCACTTGCGTGCTCAATTGAGAAGAATAGGACGATAACCCGTCCACCGCACTCCGTTTCCGCTCATCTTCGGCAGTAAAGTGCCTCCGCTCCTTCTCAAGCAGAGCTACTTTCGATTCCAGTCGGGTAATTGTGGTCTCGAGTCGTGTGGTCTTCTCTCGTTTATCAACCGCATCGGCTTTCATGGCTTTATTCTTCTCCACTAAGCAAGTATTTGACTCCAGCTGACTCCTGATTGTCGACTTTAGCGCTTGTTCCTGTTGTTTGCTCTGATTGCAAAGTCTTTCCAGCTCTTCAATTCGATTATTTAGTTCAGCTTCCCTTGTGCTCCAGTCTGCATTGGAGACTGAATGCTGTTCTTGGTATCGCTCCAGGTCCTTCGTCGCCGAAATGAGAGTAGTTTCCAGTCTTTTTCGTTCTGCATCATACTTAAGCTTGTCATCGTGTATTCTCGACGTTAGCTGCTCCAACTCGTGCGATTTCTGTTCTTGAAATCGAATCCGCTCCGCGTTAATGTCCTCGAACTGCATCATAGTACACTCAATCTGGCGAGCGAGATTTGCTTCAGTGTCTTCCTTTGCTCTTGAAAGAGACGCGCACTGTTCTGATAGCAGTTTGTTCTGGCGTGTTAATGCCTCACTGACAACCTGTAGTTCGGATATTTCACTGTGTAGTCTTGATATTTCTTGTTCCAACTGGTAGTTCTGTTGAGTACTATCCGAAAGCTCTGCTGCTAGACGGTCTCGCGCTGCAATAACAGTTTTCGTTTCCAGATTTTGCGCCGAAACATTCTCTTCAAGGCACGATTGCTGTTCCCGGAACTCTCGAATTTTTGCTTGGAGTTCTGCTACTATTGAAGCACAGTGTTCCTTCGTTTGCTTGAGCTCAGCCTGCGTCGACTGAAGCGTCTGCTGCGTGTCGAAGTATTTCTTTTCGAATGACTTTTTCAATCGAGACAAATCGCCCATCTCGTCCACCAGACTATCAATTCGTGCCGCTGTTTCACTGTCGACTTGCTTCTTGAGCTCAGCATTTTCGTATTTCAATCGCGTTAGTTTCTGCATGAGCTCTGGATTCAACTCGCTAATGCCAGTAGCAATTGTGGTAACGGAGTGGATACTTCCAGCTGTGTCGGTCGCTTGTTGGCCTGGGCATTCCTGTAGCTCGGCGATAAGAGCCTTAGATTCTTGTAAAGCTCCTTGAATGGTCTCAAGCTCAGCACGCGCCATCCTAAATTCCTCTCGTTCACGAGCAAGAACTGTCTCCAATTCTACTACTCTGAATTCCTAGTCAACGAAAAATCAGCTTTAGTCCTTTCAATTCAAAGAAAATGTAGCGAAAAGGTTAACACACCAAGACAGTGATCGTCTCCTTCGCCTCCTTGAGTTTTCGCTGCCACGCTGCAGCTTTGGCCACGTAACTTTCAAGCGCGAGATTCCTCTCCACCAGCTCCGCGTTTGTACTTTCGATTTGCTATGTTGAATACGAAAGAAAAATACACAGGCGTCAGGATCCATCGCCATAAAGGCGACTAACGCAGCATCCAATGGACGTACCCGCAACATGTCTTTTGCTCCAGATAACTCGTCAATCTTCGCTTTATACTTCGCTACTGTAGAATCCACCTTCTTCATCTTCTCGCCAAGAGGCCGCAATAGATCCACCTCGTCACTAAGTGCCGGGACTTTGCTAGCCAGCGCTTCTTTCTTATGGAGTTCAGCCTTTGTTGAATCGAGCTCAAGCTGAAGAGTGCTAACCCGCTCGTTATATTGAGCATGGATCGCTCGTTCTCGTCTCAATGCGTCAGCGTCCACCTGCTCCTTCAGACCCTGCATCAGCTCCAGCAGCTGCTCCCTTTCACGCTCAATATCCCCAAACTTCTTCGTCGCCATCTCCAGTTCTTGAGCGAGATGAATCTGCACACAGTTATAGCTCAGCATCAAATTCACCTTCCAATCCAGTTCTTCTACGTACATTTTCCTCCTTCAGCACCCCATTTTCCCTCTTGACCCGATCTAGAGTAGCATTTCGGGACAAATATAATAATGGCGATCCAATACCCAGTGACACTTTCTGCCTCTTCTCTTCGTCGTCTGCTGCAAAATTGGGGATCGACACTCCTTGAGCCATCACTTTCTCAATAATAGCCATTAGATCCGCTTGCACTGCGTCCTCCATGGCCAGAATGTCGTTGATAAACCTCTCCTTGGCCTCACACTGCACCACAGCGCCCAACACGAGCTCTAGTAGTGCCGTGAGCGTGTCATTCAGCTCGCTCCCCACTTTCTGCACGTCCACGGCCAGATTTGTTTCGTAAAAGCCCTCAAGTATTATCACCACTGCATTCCATCCATCCGAAAGCTTCAACTCTGCAACTGTTTTAGGGAATCTACGTCGAACACGCAGCGATAAAACCCATAGCAGCAAAAATGACATTAGTAGCAAGTCATTTTTAGCTCAATGTGATCAGATTTTCAAGATTTTGTCCACCTACGCGAGCCTTAATAGACGCAGTACTATGCTGACGCATTCTTCTTGCGGATTAACTGCGTAGAAGCTCAACCAGCGCATGAGGCTGGACGCCTTGGCGTCGCCAGTGCGCATTATGCTACTGCAACTTTTTGGCGGGAGCAAATTCCTTCATTTTATGACCATCACTCCTTCTCTCACCTGAGCCCAGTATTGCTCTTCATGTCGCATACGTGTTTTAAAATTCAAACTTATCAAGCTCAGACAAATTTTCACTCGCGAAGGGCGGAAGGAACGCGCACTTGATTCCGCATCCGGGACGCTGTTGTGTTAGCGCCGCCACGCGCCTCTGAGCAGTCTTGAACGTAGCTCAGCACCTACCTTATCAGCTATAGTATCCACCGGCGCAAGTATCTGCCAAAATGGCCGAGAAATGCCTCCGCAACGCCAGCTGCAAGTGCAGCATGTGCGCGGGCTTCGACGTGGCGTCTCTGATGAGCATCTCCAAGTCTATTTCGTCCAATATCAAGTACGGAGATGACGAAGAAGGCGACGCAGCACAAGAAGTGGCCCCTCCGCCGCCTCGATTCGGCGGTGTGGTCAATTCGCCGCCTGCCCCGTCCCAGAAGAAGAGTGTAGTGGCTAATTCTCCGCCTCTACGGGCCGTCAAGAGAACTCCGTCGGCACCAGCAGCAGTACAAAACGCCCACGCGGACACACCGATGGAAGATGTCTCTATGGCTGGTGCTGGAGCTCAGGATGTGGTCATGGAGTCGTCTCCGACCATGAAAGATACGCAGATGGAGAGTGTGGCCTCCACGCTGTCCAATATGGAAGTCGATAGCCCGGCAGCCGCTGGAGGACAAGGCGAGGCGGTCTCCATCGATGCGGTACTGCCAAAACTCACGGACAAGAACTGGAAAGTACGGAAAGAGGGCTTTGAGGAGCTCAAGACGCTGTTTGAACAGCCAGGAGTCAAGACGAACCAGGTGAGACCTGCCATGGAGTTGTTTAAAAAGATGTGCGAGGACGCCAATGCTAGCGCCATGGAGGCAGGCATCGCTGCGGTGCTTGCGTATACGCTGAACGTGGAGCCTTTCGACAAGGAAATAGTGAGCGGAGTGATGGCACGCGTTACAGATAAAGGATTCTCGGCCCGACCGGGCATTGTGAAGCTCTGTACTGAGCTGACAGACGCTTTTATTGCCGCCAGTGCAGCAGAGGAGACAGTGACGGCTCTGCTGGAAGGTACGAACAACCGCAAGCCCAAAGTGCCACCGGCTTGTGCAACGTGCATACTCGACGCTTTGAAGGAGTACGGACCTCGAGTTGTGCCGCTGCAAGCGATTAAAACAGCACTGCCTAAGCTGATGGAAGGTGCTGTGAAGGTTCGACCAATTGCGATGAGTATTATGGTGGAGATCCACCGGTGGACTGGCCCGGCGCTCGTACAGGATATCGTGGCTAATCTTCGACAGGCACAGCAGACTGAGTTCGAAGAACAGACGAAAGATGTTGTACCTGGTCAGGCTGCACCAACCAAGTTTGTCAGAGGCGCGAAGCCAGCTAAAGCTGCCGGCGGTACTGCTGGTAAACCATCGAGCGGTGCATCAGGAGCGGCGGAGCCTGCCGCTCCAGCATTTGACCCCCGTGATTTTGCAGAGACCGTGGACTTACTTGCAAAGCTCCCAAAGACGGAATTTAAGGCCAAGTTGGCGCTGCCTAAATGGAGCGAGAAGGTGGAGGCATTAAAGATTGTTCTAGAACTGATTGGTCCCGTGCCGAAGCTAGCGAATGGTGATTATTATGAACTCGTGTCGACACTGAAAGCACTCACGAATGACTCAAATGTGAACATTGTGGCGAAGTCGATTGAAGTATTTGGTGCACTCGCGGACGGTCTGCGTAAGAATTTCACACAGTACGCTCGGATGATGTTCCCTGAGTTGCTTCGGAAACTTTCAGACAAGAAATCAGTTGTTTTGAACGCGACAAACAAGACGCTGGACTTGTTTCTTCAGCATGCGATGACGATTGACATGATGATGGATGACCTGAAGCTAGCTTGCGATGCTGCGAAGAACAAGGCTCCTCCTGCACGGGTTCAAACGATGGGTTACCTGAGTCGTGCTGTGGAAAACCGCTATGTGGATTTGAACGATAAGGCACTGATCGTGGCTTTTGGAGGAATGTTTATGAAGGGCATTGATGATACCGATCCCAAGGTGCGGGATGCGGGTCAAAAGTGCTTCATTGTACTCTTGCAAGCGACCGACCAGACAGCTGGATGGCTGCAGAATATGATGGATGAGATCTCTCGTAAAAATCCTCGGGCATTCAAGACAATCCAGAAGGGTCTTGGTGGCGGCGGTGGCGCCGCTTCAACGCCGTCTTCTCGTCCTGGTAGTGCTCAATCTTCTCGTCCAGGAAGTGCGCCTTCCCGGCCTGGTAGCGCTCCGCCGTCACGTCCCGGCAGTGCCGGAAGTGCTGCAAGTCGTTCGAGTTTCGGTGGATCCAGAACATCAGAGCCCGACGGGGATGTGGAAATGGACAGCACTCCCACTCCTGCTGGCCCCAGACGCCCATCTCTGAAGAAGCGTGGACCACCTAGTCGACTTGGTATGAAGCCTGGTGCAGCTGGCACCTCAAAAGCAGCCCCGTCAAGAAAACCTCCTGCTGCTGGATCGAGTACTGGTCCGTCGACAGGTGGAGGTGGTAGCACTGACTTCACCCCAATAGCAATCTCGGTTACCGCAGAAGAGGCAGAAGATATTATTGCTGAGCTTCAACTGGATAACTGGAGCTCGATCCAGGAAGGTTTCGCAAGTTCAAAATGGATGGAACGCAAAGGTGCAATTGAAGGACTGGAGGAGTATGCCAGGGCAAACTCCAGCATGATGAATGTGCGAGTGATCGAGGCGTTTACGATGTACCTCTCAAAGCAAGTAAAGGATTTCAAGGACAGCAATATCAACGTTCTCAAGAGTGCATTCCAAGCAGTTGGAACGTTTGCAGAGACTGCTGCCAGCAAATTCCCACGCGGTGTTGTCTGTCTGGTCACTCCTCGTGCCTGTGACAAGATTGGAGACAGGAAGGCGAACGAGGCAGTGCGAGCCATGATCATGCAGTTTTGCGAAGCTACCAGCCCAGCGTATACGACTGGATGTATGATCGAGTACATGCCGAAGGTCCGCTTGCCGCTAGCGCATATTGAAGCTCTTGTAGTCTTGTCCGAGTGCGTAAAGGACTTTGGTATCTCCATCTGCAACCCACGCGCTCTTATTGACTTCGCGAAGGGCCCTCAAGGACTGGAAGGTTCAAATCCCAAGGTTCGCAGCGCTGCGACCTCACTGCTCAGTACAATGTACTCGCAACTTGGACCAGCATTACTTCCGATCTTGAATCTGGAGAGTTGGAAACCAGCTTTGGCTAAGACTGTGGAAGACGAGTTCAAGAAAGTGGGCTTCGATCCAGCGAAGGCACAGGCGACTGTAAAGCGCCAGGTGAAAGACCAAGATGCAGCACCGGCTGCGGCAGACCCTGGCGCGTTGTTCGGCCGTGTTGATGTGAGTAGCCAAATTACGAAGGAATTGCTTGAGGATATGAAGAACGAGAAAGACAAGGTTGCTTGGAAGAAACGTGCGGAGGCAATGGATAGCGTTCAAGCCATTTGTGAAGGCGCTGGCTGCGCCATTGAGTTCACTCGACCTGTACAAGAAGTTCTTCGCAGTCTGAAAGCTCGTCTGAACGACTCGAACGCGAACTTAAAGGTTAAAGCTGCGAACGTTATCGGAGTCGTGGCAACTAGTGTTGGACCCGATATCGCCAAGATGTCAAAGATACTTGGCGCGAGTTTGATCGCGGGTGTGGCCGACAACAAGAAGACGATGCAAGCTGCGGCTATCCAGGCTCTCCACAAATGGGTTAACCACAACAACGAGACGTCGTCAGCGTGCATGGAAAGTTTGCTGTCTCCTCTATCGGAAGGTCTGTTGAATACTGTCGGAAGAGCAGAGCTGCTTGGATGGGCTGCAGAACACCTGCAAAAGTGTGAGAAGCTCGATTTGAGTAGCTTGGTGGCTCCGACTGTGCAATGTATGATGGACAAGTCTTCCGAGGCGCGTGAGAAAGCACAACTGGTGCTGGCTGAAGTGATGAAGTCGGTTGGCAAGGACGTAGTATTTACGACAGGATGTCGTGACATCAAGCCTGCTGCGATGCGAGCCCTTAAACCTTTGCTGCAAAAAGTGAGCGATGCCGTTGAAGCCAGTGGAGGCTCTACCTTAGGCGAGGTTAAGGCGTCTGTCCCTACACCAAGCGCGACGCCTCCTGTGGCTCCATCGGCTACCAGTGGATTGGAGCGTAGTGGACTCAAGAGAAGAGCTAGTGCGTCTGCTGGTAGTACGCCAGTGAAGTCGCGACTTTCGCGTCCTGGGTCGCTTCGAGCGCCTACGGCATCGTCTTCTTCACTTTCAGAAACCTCGGCAAAGGCTGGACCATTATTGAAGATGACTACCAACAAACCGGCGAGAATTTCGAAGGGCCAATACAACAAGTGGATCTTCGAGACGACGTCCACTAGTGAGATGAACGCGCGTAAAGGTGAACTCGAGGCCGAGTGGAAACCTTACTTGTCACCGGAGTTTCACGCTAAGTTATTTGCTCCATCTCTGGAGAAAGGAATGCTTGCTGCGATGGATGAACTGACGCTGTGTATTATCCATCAAGCTGATGAAGTGATCTCGTCGCTGGACCTCGTTTTGAAGTGGTGCACTCTTCGTATCGTGGACAATAACGTTCAGGCTCTGGCCAAGTTGTTAGAAGTGTTGGTCAAGCTTTTCGAGATGCTCAAAGACACCGGATACCAGCTGGAAGATGTTGAGGCTGCGATTCTACTGCCTTATCTACTACAGGAGAGCGGCCAGTCGAAACCTCGCTTCCGAGTTCGTTTCCGGGACGTGATGAAGCTGGTTGTTGATGTGTACAATCCTGAGAAATACGTTATGTACTTGATGGAATGTTTCAACGGCTCGAAGAACATGAAGAGCCGATGTGAGTGCATTGACCTGGTCGAGTACATCGTCGGCATGCATGGATACCACGTCGTTGGTCGCAAGTGTATAAAAGACGTGGGCAAGTACGTCGTCGCTCATGAGAAAGAGCTTCGTGAAAGTGCCATCAATACACTCGTGGCTGTCTACATGCGGACGGAAGGTGGAAATCCGGACAAGTTTTTCCGATATGCCGGTATTACTACACAGCAGGGGACTGACTTGCTAAACGCTCGGCTAAAACACCTGCCTGCTAGTAGTTTTCAGAGTGAAGCCCCTGCACCTCCGCAACAGGAAGCGCCAGAGCGGGAAACTGCTCAGCTACAGCGTCCTCAACGCACAGGATTTGGCTTTGGATTCGCACGAGCTGCTGCTGCTGCGACAACTGCTCCAACAAACAACTTCGCGTCAAGACCGGAGGAAGTGCAGCCAGTTGTGGAGCCTGTTGCAATCCAGCAATTCAATTCAGAATCTTATGATGAGGATGTGGACATGGGCGCTCCGGAAAATGAAGCTACCGAAGAAGAGTCGCAAAGTGCCGTCATTGAAGAGCTTCTGTTACGTCCGATTGAGATGCTGATCAACTCCTCGAAGGAGATTGTGCCGGCGGGGACACCTGCATACAAGGAAGGCGGGAATGCTCTCAAGGGTCTGTATGCGATTATCAACCGCCCTTCGGATCCGGCTGAGGTCGAATTCTTGCACTCGTACGTGAACGAGATCGTTCTGGCTCTGTGTGACTGCATTCATGGCGCTTTCTACGCTGGCAACGCTGAGAAGAGACCGGAGATGTACATCCTCGCCATCAGCATCACAACGCTGACAGTTGTCTTTAACAGCGACGCTGTCACAAGTATGCAGCGCTACACTGTGGAGCGCGTGCTCCTGGAATTGTGCTCGAAGATCATGGATCCACGCATGGAGAAGTTCGCAGAGAAGGCGAATTTGCCTGCATCGGAGATAGCGCTGCTCCCTCCAGAAGAGAAGCGCTATCTGATGGTGTTCAAGGCGCTATACAAGGCTATGCGGAAGTTGACGGAGCGAGCGAAGCCTGGTGATGTCTATCCGTCAGTGATCAATCTGCTGCAGCGTTTGATGCACAACGATGTCGGTGACTACAACAAGAACGACACGCTCAAGCATCTATTGAAGGAAGACTCGCTGGACCAGCTCGTAGGACGCATCCTGCTCAAACTGTCGAATGTTCAAGCCAACTCGCTCACGCCGTTCGAGGAAATTGACATTTTTGGCGTTCTCATGCAGATGCACATGTTCTTCTCGACTTTACCCGGGGCCGAAGTCATGATGGTGGATATTGCCAACGACAACATGCGTTCGGCTCTGAAGATTATGGCTGAGAGCTTGATGAAGACGAGATCTAGTGCTTTTGAGGCGTCCATGAAGGACGTACCTCATACTTCTCCTGTACGTCAAGCTCTCGAAGAGATGGGCATTGGCCAGCAACAGAAAGATGCCATCGAGTCCACGACGCTGCGTTACGGAGAGAACGGTACCACTAGTAATGGCACCAACACCAGTCTCGCTTCAGCTGCGCCACCTCGTATTACGAGTCATTTTGGTGCCAACAGTGCAGCTAACGGAGTCGCTGCTGCACCAGAGGAAAGTCTCACACGACGCCTGTTCCCACCACGAGACAGCGGCATCGCCACGCGCACAACGAGGACGACGTCGGCGGCACCGTCACTAGCTGAAACGATGTTATCTGCAGAATCGCGAGGACGAAGCTTCACCTCATTCCATGCGTTTAGTGCTAACCGTGGAGCAGCGACGAATACTTCGCGCCCGTCAACCACAAGTGCACAGCTCGAGAGCCTGCGAGAGCGACTGCAGATGTCCCGCCACTACAATTAGGATGGCGATTCTCCATGTCCACAAAACCCAACTCGACGAAAAGTAGTTAGTAGTTATCACAATCACACCGAGCAGTAGAGAACCGTAAAATTATGCTGCAACCTGTGCCCAACCTGACTTCGTACCACTCGACGTACCCACTATATCTTCGTTACTCGTCATTCGTGTTGACCTCGCTTATAGAATATACTCGGACGTCTCGGTACTGAGAGCTCGCTTACTTCGAGCGCGAGCCATCGCCATTTCTCTGGCTGCGAATTCCGTAGCACTGGTCTGTTTGGCGTACCCCATGCACAGCAAGCAAATGCAACATCGTGTTTGCTGTACGACGCAGTCCGGCGCTACATCCACCGTCACTTTCCGCGTCGTTCGACAAGAATTGCACACGAGCTGTAGACGACGAAACAGTAAAGTTAGCGAATCCGAAGTGACGAAAACTAGTCGTACGCAACCCACCGCTCGACAGACAATACAGCATCCGAGTTTCCGTTTCTTGGGCACTCCAAAATGCGCTTTACATCTCCCCACACAGTCCTCCGTCGACGGCGACACCAATCTACTACAACATACAAAAATTAGCTCATGGTGACCACTAAAACATTTCCAAACACTCACCGACGCGTCGAGCGCACGGAGTCGTGCAGCATCCAGCGGATCTTCTTGGAGTAAGCAGTATCGCTGGTCTGAGCGAGTCCCAACGCAGCGTGGAGAGCTGCGTTCACCACTGCGAATTCCGGTACGCTACCCATAGGAGCGAAGAATCCTTGCATGAAGAGCTCAACGCCACCATTCGGCAGCTCGCACTTAAGCCAGCACATCGAACCTTTCGCACGAATATACTTGCTGTTGCATGAGTCGCTTCCAAGACCAAGCTGCGTGCTTCTACCCATCGGGTCGTTCGAACTCACATCAACTGAGTGAACGACGTAGTATCCGAGTCGTTCACCTCGTATGGTATTAGTGACACCCATGGAAGTGACGACGCAGTAGTCGCGCTTCTTAGCGAACGGACCGTAGCCAGAATTGCTGAAATCCATCCACGTGACTCCACAGAACCGGAAAGGGTCGTCTTTTGTAGCACTTCGAATGCGCGTTAATACTCGAAAGTCGTTGACCTGATCGTGGATGTACGACGATCGAAGTTTAGCGCCATTGTCACTGTCGATGTGCATCCCATACATCTCGTCGTCAAGTGTTCCTTGAAGAGCTCCGAGTACTAATAGTCTAGGTACCGAGGTCTTACACACAACTGGTTCAAGACGACCGTCAGGAGAACACAACGTCTGATGCTGTTGTCTCCACGACTCTCGCTCTTTGAATGCCACGAGGTTATTTTGACGACGAACTTCTTTCCATTGTTCATCATGTAGTCGACGCTTACGGACATCACGGAAATGCAGATAGTCGCTTAGAGTCTGCTTCATAACTGAATCGGCGAGATGTTCGAGCTGATCAGCTTCTTCCAGTGATAAGATGAGTGGGGGTGGAGGGCCACTCGGTTGTGTGGTTTCTGGGATTAGTGGTCGATAGTTTCTGCTAGTTGTCACGTTAGCCGAAGTGTTTACTGAGGCACTCAAACTAGCCGAAAACGTCATGGTGCCATTGAGTTGAGTGGTAAATTGCGGTGGCATTGCCGTCAGCAGAGATAATTGAAAAGTGAAGATGGGGTAGAATTCGGCGTGTTGATGACGACAATATGGAATCGACTCGGTACTACGCTAGAGATCAAGTTAAACAAGTAGAATCATGTTGACCAAGTGGAAGCATGCTTCGAATACATACATACACCTTGTATGGTGGGTTGTCGTTCGATCTTGCGGAACATCCGGTCGGATAAACTACGTGGACGTAAATTTGATGATGCCAGAGTAGTGCTTCATTGTAAAAATTCTCGCGATGGCATCGCGGCTAGACGGTAGAGTAATCTCCAACTGAACCAAACAATGTAGATAGATTATTGAACCCTTGAGTTGCGTCATAAAATTTCAACGATGAACAGACAAATCTACATTTGTAAACTATTGAGCTCTTGAGTTGCTTGTCCACTGACCTGCAGGATATAATAATGTATTATATACTGGAGAAGGTTTAGGATAAACGAACAAACCAGGCCCACTAGTAAACTGCGTTTGCAATCCCAAAGCAAGTCATATTTGACCCAGTTGTATTGTGGGTTCTACTCAATATTGGACAGGACGGTTCTATGAATGAATCTCCCCCAATCGCTCAGCGTTTACAATTCCGTATACAGACCCGTTTAAGTACGAAATAAAGTGACAAGAAAGGACTTGGTAGGTTCTACTAATGACTTGGGTTTGTATGTGGGCGATTGTTCTCCCGCTCCTCAGACCCAAGTCGGCAAATTTGGACGGAATTCACAATACCTTACTCATTGTATGAAAATTCTCTTTGTCCGATGCGTCTCACATGTACGCCTAAATTAAATGTATAAACTGTAGCATACTTTTAAGCCCCCTATCAGAATAAAAACCAGAGAACTTGAGCAACATGTTAGCATGTATTAACAACTGAAGAGTGATTATCGAGGGGTTTCGATTCTCCTTTGAATCATCGAGTTTTACTTCTCGTATGCCGTGCCAATAGCCTTCAAAGATTTAGACGCCTAATTCACGAGCGTAACCGAAGTTAGCTCCAGCGTGTTGGTCGACGGTTGCGAATAGATGACAATGTCGAATTTGGACGCCTCACAGTTGGCGTTGCTGCATGGGCCCAGCTCTTCCGAGTTGATGTTGCAACCCGACACGAGAAACTTGTAGTTGGTGCCGGACACAACTTGAGTCTCGAGACTTTCGACGTTCAGGTAGCAGATGCGGGCGTTGACGTCATAGTTGAACGTGTTCTCGTTGATCTTGGCCTTGTGGAGCACATCCATATCCTCTTGGGTGATTTCCTTTTTCGAGTACGCGCCGCTCATTTGAGCAGAGGTGACCACTAGGGCGGTGCAGGTGAGAAGAGCGAGAGGGTAGCGAAGGAATGTCATAGTGGAGGTGCGCACAGAGAGGTGGTTCTGCTTGTTTTTGCCTTTGTCGGGAGAATTGGTTAATGAACAGTTGTGATGGACTTCGTTCGGGGTGGTGGTTTGTTCGCGCTCTGTCTACTTAGTATACAGTTTGATTACCATAACCTTAGGTCCCTCAGACTGTGTGTAGTCAATATCGAGACAATTTTCAGTGTACGTACAATCCTTGGCTTATGTTCCGGTACCGGTTTGGAGCACGAAATAAGAATCATTCATAACGATAATCAAACCGAGCCGAGCCCGTAAAGCGGGGCTGTTGAAAGTTTCAACAGCTTTCAACTTGAAACTGAGCAGGAGCGTGGACCGATGAGCAAGGCGAGATTCTTCTTTTTCTTTTAAATTAATAAAGTTACCATCAGACTGTAGACAGCCATGAACGCTGCAGCAATATCTATAGCACCACGAGCATATTAGATTTTAGGAGGAACACACTCTCCCCCGCCGCTTCGCACCGCTCTTTGGATGAAAGCAAAGTTTTTGATATGGGGATATTAATTCATACTCGAATTCCCCTCATCAACCTCGTATAATCCTACTACGCGATGAAAGTGATCTAGAGTTGCCCCAGAAGGGTCTAGTCAAGCTGCGCTGGCCAAGAAGGTCCATCGTGATCAACAAAGCTGATCCCAAGCGTGATCTTTTCACTATTCTTCAGTTGGTACGTAAGGCAGATGAGATGCCAATGCAGTTTGTCTAGACTTGCTAAGAGATAATTATGAGCGAGGTGAAATCGACAGCAAACGAATCCAGGTTGTCGTGATCGGTTTATACTTCAAGAAGTATTTTTTCTGTCAATTCCTTTGCTACGAAAGGCTCACACTAAAAATTACAATACCAACCTTTCCATTTCCTCATTCAAGACTTCATGCAGTCGTGTGGGGCTATTTCAAGTGTAGGGCGTTTGCCTCATGGTTGAATTGACTAGACACTTATGGAAAGCACTGTGTTAGCTAACTAATAGTAGACAAGTCAGTTACCACGAGTTTGCCCACAAAGTGAGAATTGTGGGTTTCAAGCAGCCTAGCCGCGAATCACATGTGCTGAAACCTACCAGGTAGGTTGGCGAAAACCCACAATTGTCGAGGGCTTTTACAGTTGGTAGGGCACATTTACAGTTTGGCATAGGTCACAATCTAGAGTTTGTAGCCCGCTATTGCTTAAGGTTGATCGAACAAGGCAAACTCGTGGGTGTCTACGTGCACAGAATCGCTGCTGCAAACCGGCAAGGTCTAACATCTGGCAGACGTCTCTAATTAACCCTTGCTAACTGTGTAAGCCCCTCAAAAGACCATTAATGCTGAATCATGTTTAACGTTTATAATGTACTGTATCAATGGATTGATCCCTCACATGCTACTCACGTACTAAATCGACGCCAACACTTCTTAAAGAAGAAGTCTTTCGATGGCAAGAACATCCTTCTGGCATATCTTCCCTAATATAATCAGTAATTTACCTTGAATTAAAGAATTATTGCTACATCATACTCGTATGTGGACTCTAATCGCTATTGTTTCATCGCCACAAAAGATATTTCTTTATCTTAAGCCCACCTACCGATAAGAGCCATCAAAGCAGCTCCCATCCATAGACAAACGTACAACGCGAAGCGCTGAGAAGACGTTCGAGACAGAAATTTCTGGTTCATAGTCATGTTGTATGTCAGCAGCTCCACAAGACCCGTGTACAGTAAAATACCCCCGGCGACACAGTCAAACACGCCTTGCACCCACAACGCAGTCAACAATTCACTCGAGTACGAGTTGCGAATACCAATGCCAATAACCTGCCCAATCGGTGTGGTGATAGCAAAAGCAAAGTTAACTAAAAACAATTTCGTGCGGTTCTTGATGGATTCGAGAGCAGCACTACTGATAGCGATACCCTCGAAGAATTGATGAAAACAGAGAGCAGTAAGCAGCGTTTTAAATTCGGTACCCGTCGTGACACCGAGATCAATCCCAACGATGACGGAGTGGAAGATAACTCCTGCTTCAAAGATAATAGTGGCGATTTTACGGTGGGTGTTGAGGTCTTGTTGAGTTTCTTTCGCTGGTGTCGGGCTATCAGGCTGAAATGAGTGGAAGTCGACGCTACGAGGACTGGCAGGAACGTTTTCGTCGTCATGGTCATGATTCTGGCTGTGTCCGTGGCCATGGAGAACTGAGCCCTGACTACCAAAAAAGACCGCACTTTCACAATTAGGTGCAAGAGCACCAATGTGGCAAGCACGACAGCCAAGCCTAGACATCCATAGTCTTCCACGATTGAGCCGAGTGCTTCGTCACTGAGTTTTTCGATTCCTTCGTTGATCATATGGATCAATCCCGTTGCGAGCACTACACCGAAGGAGAATGCGCGAATCGCCTCCATAGCGATCGGATCCGAACTGGAGAATGGGATTTTCTGCGAGATAATGGGCACTAGCGTTCCAGCCGCGGAGACAGCGAGGATGATGAAGATGGCACCGATACGGAGTTCCAAGTCTTCCATCTTGCAAAAACAAGTCTAGGGTCTTGAGCTTGAGATATTTTACCAGATAAGTGGAAAGAATAGTGAGTGTTGGCTCGTGGAGCAACAGGATCTTAGCGTCTTCAGACACACACGTGTGCGATGTGCGCAGATAATAACCCCAGAGATGGAATAGGGGGTGGGCTGAATCGCACAGCGGCGCACGCTAGCGCAATACGAACGCTCGATAGTAACGACTGTCTTCATTTGCAGCAAAAACCTCTGTCTTGAGCGCAGCATTTGGAAGTTCCTTTGAAACTTCCTCCACGCAAACGGCATGGGTTCGACATCCGTCGTTGCAATAGGTATCGGCAACGCTCACAAATGAGTACAATACAACCTTTTTGCCCACACCAAGCGACTGTTTTGATTGCTTGGACTCCTGTTGGGTGTGCAGGGTGCCCATTTACCCGAGTTCCATTACTCAATTGCAACGGAGCCGGTCAGTTTCAGAACCTCGCCGTCGGACAAATGCGCGTTCCATTCATTTCAGCCGAATTGAGCTCCTGCTAGGAGACTGTGTGCCACAGCTCAACTCCCCGTTTGTGCTTGTCCGACGGCGGCTGAAGTCCCACAGACAACGTTAGTCAAGATTCAACGAAGAAAGCCATGACCTCATTGGATATTATCCAGTCAATTCGTCTTGAAATTCATGGCTTGTTGGAAAATATGAAATAGTTTACGAAAGAGACCACAGATGATCACAATGACGAGGATTCCAGAGCTGGAATTGCAGTGTTTTGAGCGAGAGGATGACAGTACATGTTAGATAAAACCTTTTCCCTTCATTGGTGTATGCTTGGGTAGAAAGAAGTCCCTAATAGTGGGCAAATGCAGCTAGAAAAGAGGTCTTGAGGAACTCCTTGTGGAGACGGTGATCGAATGAAAGCTACCTGCTGATTGGGCAGAAATATTTCTGATTCCAGATATGCTGTCTGATAATATCTATTTCGGATGAAGTGGATACATGTACGCAGGTCTTGTAAACCAGAAACATCAGAACAGGTAGTTAGAGAGTAAATTACAGCTATTGAGGACCATCCTGCTTGAGCTTATTGATTACGCTTGCACACGGACAAATAAGCAACCGATTTGAACCGTCACAGTTCACTCTCCGATTTTCCGGCTAGAGCCTCGAGATTCCTGTCGGGTTCCGGACGATAGGTTGGTAACGTTTCATCATTTATACACCTTTTTAACTTCTGGCAAATTGATAGTTTAATGTGTTAAAATCTACTTTCAAAGCAGTGGTATTTCTGACGGGCGTGTATTGGAGGGTGAACAAGATTGCACTACAATACGGACGGAGTACATACGCCAAACTAACCAAAAAGTAAAGCATAATACCATCGAATCACATGCCATATTTGATCAACACGTATCTTCGTTTTCATTGTCTAAAAAGCAAAGCAATTTGCCATTTTGAAGTGGAAACGCTGTAGTATTGCCAGTCGCGCACATTATTGCTTTGTGTACCACCGCAGAGCAGAAACGTAAAGTTCTCTCTCTTTCACTTTCTTAGATCGTTTACGGGCAATCGCCAGTTGATTTCAAGATCACGGGCAGCCACACGGCAAGAATCATTTGTAACATTTGTTCATCGCACTCTTCAAGAGTCGTAAATACTGTTTTGCTTCTACGGGCGCAAAGTTAAGCGACGGCATATGGCTTACGACGATGTTCTTATCTCGACCAGCAGGTGACTTACGGCAACCAGGCGAGCAACCGACACAAGGTAACAGTAATTCTCTTTGTCACTTTTCAATTTGAGCTCCAGCATCAATTGTCGTCATCTACAAGAGAGCCCCGATGTCTGAAGAACGCTGCTGTGGATGCGTCTCCGTCGAACAGGACTACGACGTAGGCGAGCACGTTGTTGCTATCCTTATCACTTTTGCAGCATCTGCAGCAGGAACGTTGGTTCCCATCATCTCGAAAATAATTCCTCAGTGTAAAATCAACTCGATCGTCATGGAGATCACCAGCTCGTTCGCCTTCGGCGTGGTTCTCGCGACGGGCTTGATTCACATGGTCAATGAAGGCATTGACAAGCTGAGTGACGAGTGTCTTGGATCTATCGTGGAAGAATACGAATGTCTCGGTTTGGCTATTGTTCTCATCACGATGCTTTTAATGCACTTCATCGAGTGCGAGGGCATTGTATTCTTCGGGAGTAAAGGTTCATCTTTTCACGGTCACAACCACGATCATGGTGATGTAGTCGAGCTGACAATCAGTACGCGGAGTGTCAGTTCTTCGCCGGATAACAACAATAACCCCTATCAAAAGAAGGACGTCGAGAAACTGGCACACAACGGCATTCGTCGCACGATTGCCACCATCATTTTCGAAGTAGGCGTCATCTTCCACTCGCTTGTTGTCGGACTCGACCTAGGAGTCACTACCGGCGCTGAATTCACGACATTGCTGACTGCATTGTGCTTCCACCAGTTCTTTGAGGGCGTCGCTGTTGGCAGTGCTGCTCTAGAGTCCATCGGATCTCCAAGCAAGTTGCTCGTGATGAACTTTCTGTTCTCGATTACTACCCCAATTGGTCAGGCGTTTGGCATAGCCATTCACAGCACGTACTCAAGCTCGTCTACAACAGCACTATGGGTGCAAGGGATTTTTGACTGCGTTGCTGGTGGCATCCTGCTCTACACAGGCCTCGTTGAGCTGCTGACGTACAAAATGACTACGAACCAGAAGTTCCTGACTCGCACCACATCGCAACGCTATACGCTGTACATCAGTCTGTGGCTTGGAGCTGGACTCATGGCCCTCATCGGCAAGTGGGCATGAGATTACAAGTGCAGTAGTCTGTAGCGTTAGATGTGGTGTAAAACAGTGAGAATGTATGTGCAAGTTGAAGTTAACCATCACTCACTTCGTCTTCAAACCCGCCAATCAAAAACTGCCAACTCTCCCGAAATAATCTACCAATCACAGCATGCCAAGCTGTATTTACGCGACATGGCTACATCCGATGTTGTAGTTGCCATTTTTGACAAGCATCACCATTCCCCAAATTCCCTCTTACAGCTCAGCTCACTCTTCCTGTAACCATGGCTCCTACATCAGCTTTGGAACTCTTCGGACTCATGCAAAGTGGAGCAACTCGCCTTCAGCACACTGTGAACCAGCACCTCAATCTCCTGTCAACGACTAACCCTTCCAGTGGAATTCCCAGTGATCAAGTTACCATCTCGCCAGCATGTAGTTTCCGCTCAACATTCGTACACGGATCAGTCCTTGAAGCCCATCAAGGTGAAAAAACGATGAAGATCGTATCCAGTTCAGAGGGTTATCTCCAAGTACTCTCGATCGACGAAGTGGCTATGGTGGTGGTCTCGTACTTGGATGGTGAATCACTGTCACGTGTCCAAGGTGTTAACAAAGCTTGGCGAACGTTCGTCCAGCAATACCTAGAGCCACTCTATCGAGTTTTGGTCCAGGAGCGACGGATTTTCCACACTGTTATCACCTCCACGTCGGCGTTTAAGTCATATCTCTTCTCGTTACGTCACGAACTAGACCGAGAGCTGGCACACACCCACTCTGTACATCCCACACATCAGGCATTGGAACAGTACTGCGCTTCAACGGATCAGCATGGCTTCGTCGCTATGTTCTGCGACATCATCGAGTTCCACGATCCGAGAATTGCTCGGTTCGTGGCTTGGAAGCGACAGAGCGCGCTTAGTATGGTGCTAGCTGCAACTCCGACACACGTCATGAACTTCCGAAAGCGATCCAGTTACGTGGGGCCCATTACCTTCGTGCCAGTGGATAACCCCCTATGGCCAGTGTTCACGTCGTCACGTGTGGATGCACCGGGATTCATGGGGTACGCTTTTGACCACGTCACAATGATTCCGGGTTACGAGGCACTCAGAAATACAGTCGTCAAATCTATTCTCAAGGAACTTATGATCTTTGACACGCCAGAGAACGCAGCAGCATACGGACGCAGCATTGGCCGCGCACCATACGCCGCCATTCTCGAGGATGAAGACGCCATGGTGCTAGTCGGACAGGCAGAACGCACCAGTCATCTCACCTTTTCCACACCTCTGCGTCGACAGCTAAGCAAATATCCTGTAGCTGAAAGAATTTGCCGGCTTCGTGCAAAGATCAAAGCTGTTGATGACTGTATCGCATCTACTCCAAACATTTCTGTAAAGTAAATATTCATAGTATACCGCAACATTTCCAGAAATATATTCCCATCCAACTATATTCTATTTTTTTAAGACACGATACATTGCGCGAGTCCATCGCAGATGAATGAAGAGCACGATCGATGGTCTGCCAGAGCCGTGATAAACCTATCAGGTTGTTGACTCTCAACGCGCTCGTCCCAATTTTCTACCTCATGTTGCGTCCGAAGATATTTTTGTTGTTTCTTGTGTTTCTTCTCCCGTTTTTTCTTATATTTCTTGAAAACCTTCGAGTCACCATAGTAATGACACAACACAGAGTCAACTTGATCTACCACAACACGTGGTTGACTCATGTACGTCTGCGCTGGTATCGTGCCCTTGGGGTCCACTGTTCTGCCCCCCTCGTCCTTCGGATTGATCAAAGGAAGTTTTAGATATCGACAAATTGGGTTGCAGCGGTGAGAGTCTAAGAATCGTTCAAAACCTCGTAGAGCCAAGTTGCCCTTGCCAAACTCTTTACCACGTCTCGTGTGGATCTGTGGGTCTGTATAGTGATCACCAACACCCTGGATATCAACCACGAGAATGTGTTGTCCCGAAGCCTCGTACGTAAAGTGCGAGAAAGCTTGTGGTGTGTTGCGCTCCAGTTCGCTGACGTAGCCAAAATTATTATTGTGTTTGTGGTATTCCCCGGCGATGAAGGGCTCCACGCCACAAATTGTGCCACTCAACGTTAAACTTTCAATAGTTTGGTCTCCAGCGTCACTGACATCGCACGGAATCAATTGGAGAATCCAAGCTTCGAGAAACTCAACGCGTCTGGGCGGATTGTACGAATTGTACAACTTCGCGTACTTGGCCGCTACTGCTTGCATCTCGACGTCTTTGAAGTACGTATCGGGGTCTTCATTGGGATCGATGGCGATCTTCGCTACGTAACTAGTGCATTTTGACATGACGCTGTCCTCGTCATCTGATCTTAAAGAAGGAGGAGGCATACTGAGATCTTGCAGGTGGAACACTTGACGGAGTCCTCCCTTTGCAAATGGTTCAGTGTCAATTTTCACTTTGATTCGCGACGAAGTCCACTGTAACAATAAAAAGTTAGTAAAAATTAAGAGATTATAAAAAAAACACTGTAAGTCTCTATACCTTACGGTGCTGCGAGTCGAATACATGTTTAATTGCATCGCGCTCACGTAGTAGAGAAAAATCAGGAGGTTCACGGTACACTATGGGCAACTCCAATGACAGTAAATCCGACGTTTTTGCAATTGCTGGACAAATTAAATAAAAAGATTAGATACCCTGACAAATGTAACACACGATGGAATAAGAAATACATTTTGCATACTTCGATCGGCTTCGCTCAATTCGTCCACCAGTTGCACACGACGGTCCTTGTATTCTGTTACCGTAATGAATCCTTCCTGATACAATTTTTGCAAGTTACGTAATTTTTCAAGATTCTGACCGTCACTTTCCACTGAATAATTTGACCCAGACGATCGAGCGGATCCCCCACTATACCGCCCGGTTTGAAAAGCCTGTGGTGGCCACGAATCATCAAAGAAATCGTCATTCGGTTGCATTTCTGCTTCAAGTTCTTCGTGTAGTTCCACTAGTAAATGATCCACGGCATCAACGTCATCTTCATCAGTCTTATGTTCCTCCTCCTCCACTACCAACTTTTCTCTGGATCGTTCTCCATAGTTATATTCCACATCGAGAAATGAGTTCTCCTTACGGAAAAATGACAATGGAGCTCTCGAACTTTTCGTGAAATTCTCAGAACATGTCCGTCTTCTCGGGTCTAAAGGCGGCTCTGGTTCTTTCTCTTCGTCGCTGCTGTCGCTGAATCCATTGGCATCTTTTCTCCAACCATTATCGCGTTCGTAAAGGCTGTTAAGCTTGGAAAAAGCTGCTCCACTGCTTCGTAAAACGATGTCCGAGCTGTGAAATCTGCGGCGAATAGGTATGTAATCCTCTTCGTCTTGCTGCGGGTGTAAGGGATATCTCCATGGAATTTTCGGGTTTGTAGTTCTCGAATTTTGGGAAGCATTGAGTTCAGATGAAGTGGACGGCACGGAGCGCGGAGAAAGCGACGGCACTCGGGCCAGAGATGCGCGTGGGGATGACATGTTATCGGGGAGTTCGCTCTGCATCTTGGCGTCCTCTCCTATGGCGGGAAGCGCCATGGTGGAGGCGAGTGCGGACGTCCTCCGGCTCTGCGGCTTCTCGACTCACTGGTTAGAATCAGAAATGGAATTATAGGATACATGGACGATGATTGGTAGAGATGTTTTTGAAAACGCATTGTTGATTGGATGAAACGAAAATTTGGTTGGATTAAGTATTGCCAGCGGCTGCGTCCTTTACCGAACCAAGTCAGAAAGAGACGCAACATACGACCAAATTGGGTTTTCAAAATGATCCACTGTTTGGGCGTTGTCCAGTCCACATCCATTTTTGGGATAGGAATAGTCCACCTATTCCAAACAGTTTTGCAAATATTCGATATGAAACAGTATAGCGGTATTTATCGCGAAAAAATATTTTATGTGCATAAAAAGATAAATAAAAACATAAAAATATTATTTGTTATTTTTATATTGGAAATAATCGGAAAATATTTTTTGACCATCTCTCATTTTCGCGCCCTCGGACCTTTGGAAAAATTCCGAATATACCGTTTGCCACTCTGAACCTACTGAGTTTGCGAATTCTATATGGTCCACCCTGCGAGAACGGGGTGCATTACTGAACTTCTCAACACCTTAAAAAAATTCGACGTTCGTTTCTCACAGGTATTAAATAAATCAGTATTTTCCTGTCAGAATTCAAACAACGAATGCCCTCCTAGCGACGCGAACCGCCATTCATTGAGAACGAACGTTTAAAGTCTGTGTAAATGCAATTATCAATTCAAATTAGTTTTGTGCAAAGAGACTGAGGAAGTCTTTCCCCAACGAAGTACGAAGTGGAGGTGACCGAGACGGTGGTATCAATCTTGAACTATCCCAATCCATCCCTGACGTCGACGGCGGAGGGGCGGGCATAGAAGCATCTCCCAGCGCAGTGTAGTCATCTAAGCGCAAGTCCGTCATCTCAGTCGCTGCGAGGGTCATGAGGTCCTCGGACGAGTAAAGCGGAGTCTGCTCGATAGCCGTCTCTGGGTCCATCGAGTCGTAATCGACCGTCAATGAAGAGTCAACAAAGAACGGATTAGTACTTGACCGGATCCACTGAAGCTCTGGATTATCCGTCACCGATACTGCAGCCTTCAGTGCAGCCATCTTGGACGCAGCAGCCGCTCGTCTAGAAGGAAAACGTTCTTCACCTTGCTGTTGAGGCTCCACCTGAAGCTTTTGTTGGTTGTCAACCACATTCCGGCTGTGAGTTTGAGGACCTTCACTATCTTCGAGATCGTCCTCAATCGCGATGTCCACATCAGGTTCTGCAGGTCGAGGACTTGGTAGAGAGATGACTGTCTCGAATAGATGAGCATTGTTGATCTGGTCATCTTTGCCGAACCACTTCAGTTGACTTTGGGTAGCATCCAGATCAACTGATACCTGGTCACCCCGACTACCGTCCAAGTCGAAAAAATGAAGGTAGTGGTGAACCGAAACTTGTGCATGAGATTGTCTCGCCAGGAAATAAGGTCGCTACTGAAAATGGACGGCTTGATTCTGGCTTGTGATGGGAGAGTATCCAGCGTTACGAGCTCAACTGGAGATAATGTTCCCTCAGTGTGACTTCAGTGATTTGATAGACTAGAAACAACTAGATTCGCACATCGGCACTGAAATCTCGATGGGTTTACCGCCGTACACTGTGCAGATTCCGTATACATCCAGCACCGCTGTTGATATCAAGAATATGAACCCGAATGATACGTTATTTACATGTTGCATTTATACAGTTAGTCCTTTGGTTAGGCTTAATTGAACACCAATACACGTAGGTACCACGGATTTTCTATGGCTTAATCCATTACTACATTAATTCTGATTTATATATATATGACTTCAACAACAACAACTTGTCGTATCTTTCCAGTTGTGGGATATAGAATAAATGCTCGTCCATCTAAAACTTATTGTATCCGAACCCTCCTCTCGTAGTATAGAAATTGGATACACGTAAGTCACTGTCTTTGGGACCAAAGCATTACCAGAATGTGGCGTTTTATCCATTACATACTGTTGTGTTTTGAAAGAAATGAGAGGAAAAAAGCCAACTAGTAGGCTGGGTAAATCATTTTTTTTTATTTTCATTGTTGCTCGCGCCACCATTGTCTCGTTTCATCACATTATTATACGCGGCGTGAAATTTAAGGCGAGCGTATCGCTCCGCTTCAATGTGAGTTTTGTGATGAAGCTCCATCATCCAAGCGGGGTCCGCTGTCTCATCCAGGAAATGCCAAGAAATCTTGCGATGCTTTTCAGCTTCCAGAAGTTTTCTGTAGATGTCCTGGTGCTCTATAGGTGTCTTGTCAGTCGTCATCCAACCATTTTTCAGCCAATTATCAATCCATCTCTGTCTCCCATCGTGGGCAGCCATGGCGTACACCAAACCTTGGTAGCGCGAGTGAATACTAAGTGGTCTTTGGCTTTTCGGGTCCAATTCGTCGGCAATGCTTGTAGCCTGTAGAGCTGCAAGACAATCCGCATGATTGTTCGTGGGGTGGGCGTTGACATCCAATGCACGGATAGGAGTGCATTCGAGGGGGAAGTAAACTGCGTACGCAGCGACTCCCCCTGGAAGCTCATTAGGAATTGCACTACTAGAGCAAAATGCAACCAAATGGTACGGATTGTCTTCCCCAGCGGTTTTTGCTTCTGGCTTCTCCTCGAGATTCAGTGACGCAGTGTCATTGAGAACGTCAGCAACATCGAGAATGTTCTGGGACTGGGTATCTCTCGGTGCAGCAACAACTACGCCAGAATCCCTGAGCTGGATGTCGGTTTCACGACAATTCATTTCTTGCATGAAATTCGTAGCCTCGGCGAAGCTATTAAACTTCTCGTAGGAGGCATCCGAGAATCCCTTAACTTGGCGTTCAGCTGCTTTCCATGTTGTGTACACTCCCGGCGTCTTTCCTCGAGCGACTGCGTAGAATCGATCCTTCTTCGCCATGCGCACGAAATGTTTTGTCACGGTGTAAGTCCGAGGAGTTTGAGAAATGAAGCTTAACGTAAATGGACACGATTCGTGCCGGACGCCTCTCTCTCGTCCGACGAGAGAGAGGTTCAATTTCACGATATGAATCTCATAAGAGGTAGTTGGCCTTCAAATAGGAGGGAAATCGAACATTATGGGAGAAGAACGCATCTCAAGAGGGAGTCCCTCTTAAGATGTGTTGAGCCTCGACGTATCAGATTACACGTGTGACTCGCAGTAGAGAAAGAGCAAATCATTCATTCAACATATACTGGGCGGTTCCTGAAAACTCAAATCCCATTTTGATCGAATTAAAACACACACACACAAAAACGATGGCAGCTGCGGTTTCGTACTATTTTACCTCGAGGAGGTAGGGGTGGTTACCACTCCCGACAGAATGGTACGACGTACTATGCTGCAAAGACACGCAGTGCGGTGACAATTTTTTTCTTAACCCCTTGATTCCCGACGTCATAAGTTATGACGTGCCACTTTTGTTATGGCGTAAGTTATGACGAAAGACGGATTAACAATAGAAAATGGCTCAGAAACTGAAATCCAATACTTTAATCAAGTCACTTTAGAACGATAAAGTCCAGCAGGTAAACGTGAAAAAAATAAAAACAAGCCAGGGATCAGGGACGAGCAGGAAAGATGGGATGCGCGGGAAAGTATCCAGCTGCCACTCAATGGCCCACAGCTAGCGATCACCCATTACAGATTTTGCTGGATGGCGCGCATCCGTCCAGGAAGGCGGAAGAAAGCAGACGCCGTTGCTGCGGTGGCACGGAGCATTGACTTCGGGCACTTTTGGAGGCAATTACGAGCAGTGGGGTGGACGTATAAACGGCCGACGGGGATCGAGACGAAGGGGAGGTATGTAAGCGCAGATGGATCAGAGGTGTTGGTTGGGGAGGAGGCTGTGGTGGCGTACGCGTTGGATACTGGTTTGTTGGACGAGCAGGCACAAGTAAGCGAGGGGAGCGACGACGAAGAACGTGTCGCTGACACGGAGCCTGACGGTGATGAAGATCTCTCCGCTACTGCCACCACCAAGAAGAAGCCTGCCGTGTCTACTAAGAAGACCGCCGCTGCCACTAAAAAGTACACTAACGTCACCGAGAAGCCCACCGCCGCCACCAAGAAGACCACCGCATCCAATGAGACTGCCGACTCACTCGA